CACCATCATCAACATCATCGTCATCATCATCATCCAACCTCCTGCTTCTCCTCCTCCTCCTCCCTCCTCCTTCGTCCTCCCTGCTCCCCCTCATACTTCTGCATTTCCTCCCGCTCGCAGTCCTCCTCCGCATCATCACCTCTTCCACGTCTGTCCTCTCTCTCTCTCTCACTCCCTCTCACTCTCTCTCTCGCTCTCTCTCTTTGTTTCTCTCTCTCACTCTCTCTATTTCTGTCGTTCTCTCTCTCTCTCTCTCTTTCTGTTTCTCTCTCTCTCTCTCTCTTTCTCTTTTTTATTGTTCTCTCTCTCTCTCTCTCTCCATCCGCATCTATATGTATACATTTGTGTATAAGTCTCTCTCTCTCTCTGCCTCTTTCTCTCTCTCTCTCTCTCTCTCTCTACCTCCCCTGCATCCTGTCACTCCGCACACGGTTCGAGCCTGTCTCCTCCTGCTGCTCCTGGTCCCCCTCCTCGCAGGGCTCGGGCCTGGCTCCCGGGAAAATATGTACAGGCGCCACTGCATGGTTGGGGATCTCGCCTCAGCCGGGATGCTGGCCTTCAGCGGGATCGCCTTCGAAGGGAGAGGTGGAGAGAGAGTGGCGGGGAGACGCCTCCTCATCCTGCCCCTGTACTCCCTTCTTCCTCGTCTTCCTCCTCACCCTCCTCCTCTTCCTGCGCCTCCTCCTCCTCCTTCTCCTCCTCCTCCTTAGTTTCCTCCTCTTATTCCCCCTACTTTATTATTCCTGATAGCGAGCGAGGGCGCGACGGAAGGACCAAAAAGAGAGGGAAAGGTGGGGGTGTTGCGGGGGGGAAAAGAAAGGGGTGCAAGGAGATTGCGGGGAGAGGAGGGGGAAGCGAGGAAGGGGAAGACAAGGGGGAACTACTGGAGTAAATTCATGGTCGCACCATGATGCACAGTGCTTCAAACCCCCGTAGCAGGGCTCGAAAAGATCCCCGAGCTGTTTGCGAGCAGACATCATAGCCGCACCGTGCACAAAACCAAATCCACTGTGCAGCATCGCATCGTACCTTGAAATTTCGAATGGGCGTCCCTTATGGGAAACGCAGCTCGTCTGTTCAATTGATCCACCACCACCTCCGGCCTCATTGGGGGACGGGCCCAAACACATACAGCTGCGAGCAGCGCAGGGCAAGCCCTTCTGTCTCTCTGTTTCTCTTTCTGTCTCTCTCTCTCTCTCTCTCTCTTAAACAATATCTATGCGCATAAACATATACGTGTGTGTACTTGTATATGCACATGTATAAGTATGAGTAAATGCACATGTATGCGTATGTGTATGTGTATATGTATACGTACATGTGCATGTACGTGTATATGTATATGTATATGTATAGGTATATGTCGATGCATCTATGTATACGTGTGTATGTATACGCATACACACATATACACATATCTATATATACAATATATATATACACATCTATATATATATATATATATATGCACGAACATGTACATACATTTATGTGTATATATATACACACATCTATATTCGTACCTTCATTATCTCACACCCGGAAACCGACAGAGATGCCCCCCCCCCCCAAAACAGAATCTGGAAAGCCCCCAGGGGTCCCCAAGGCTCTCCGGGCCGTCCCCCGGGGCCCCAAAACAGGCCAGGAATGATCCAAGAGGCGCCGAAGACTGTCCACGAGGGCCCCGAGACGCCCAAAGATCGCTTCAAGACGCCCAAGATGGCTCCAAGACGGCCGACGAGGCCTCCAAGACGTCCCACGAGGCCTCCAAAAGCACTCCCGACAGGGCCACAAGAGGCCAAAATCGTCAAATTCGCAAAGAGAAACGTAGATTTCTAGCATCTACGAGTTTTCAGCTACCACGGCGTGGAAAACAGTCCAAGAGGCCTCCAAGCCCGCCCCAAATCGGCCCCAGAGGTTCGCAAGAGGACCCCAAGACGACCCAGGAGTTTCACAAGACGGCCCAAGAGGCGCCCAAGACGGCCCAAGAGAACCCCAAGACGGCGCCAAGAGGGCCTGAGAAGGCGAGCCCGAACCGAAAATTATAGCCTTCCACCCCAAGCGGCCCCCAGGAGGCCCCAAGAGGCTCCCAAGAGGCCCCAAGATTCCCCCCCAGAGGGCCCCCAAGAGGCCCCCAAGTCGCCCCAAGACGTCAACAAGAGGCCCACAAGACGCCCCAAGAGGGCCCAAAACACCCCCAAGAGGTTTCCAAACTGCTTCAAAGAGACCCTCGAAAAGCCTCCCAAGAGATCCCAACGAACATCCAAGAGGCCTCGTACCCACAACCTCGGCAGGGTGGCGGGATGGGCCGACGGCCAGTCGATAGAATCTGGAAGGCCTTGGAGGTCCCCGAGGCTCTCTCTGGCCCATCCACGGGGGCCCCAAGGGCCCTAAGGCTTCTCTGGCCCGCCACTTCGGCCACTTGGAACTCGCGTGCAGGGCCCCAGACCACAACGATGGCCTGGACAGGCCCTGGCGACCACGAGCGCTTAAGGGGAAGGCGCTTCTGTTCCAGGGCTGGCCAGATCTTTCCACCTGTGCCCCCTGGGGCCGACGACTTCCCTGATCCAATGTCCTGGTCCTCCTTCCGCTTCCTGCCTCCTTGATCCTCTCCCGACTCGTCGCTTGAATGTTTCTGTGCAGCTTGCTGGCATCGGCCCTTCGCGGACATTCCGATGCGGCGTCCACTTTGGGGAGGGAGGAGGAAAGGACTCAAAAAGACCTTCGACGCCCCGACTCATCGCTGGAGTTTCCGTGTAGCTTGCTGGCATCGGCCATTCGCGGACATTCCGATGTTGCAGTCACTTTGGGGAGGGAGGGAGGGAGGAGGGGGATCAAAGAGGCCTTCGACGCCCAGGTGCACCTCACTCTCGCCCCGCGTCGATGACAAATGAGGAACCGAAGCTCACGGATCTTTTACGACGTCGTCACGCTTTCGTGGGCCTATACGGGACTTCCAAGGCCATGGCTGCACCCCTTCGCAAAACTACATGGAAAATACCCGTGGATTGGTCCAGGGGCCATTATTCGACCCTCCGAGCCAGCCGGACCCCTCCCGCGCCACCCCAAACACATTCTGGACGGTGCCTTCCTCATTGTCGTCGTTCGCCCCTGGAAACTCCCCTTCTCGAAGCCCCCCCCTGTCATTTTCCGAACCCCCGAGCCCCACGCTGACAACAGGCCTCCGAGCGCTCCATCGCTCCCTAAAGACCACCCGAGAAACACACACAGCCCCAACACACGCCCCCAACGCAACAAAAACTCACCCAAACCTTCACGAAGCCCCCAAACGCCACTTACTGCAGTCTTCCGAGGTCTCCATCTTCCCCAAGAGGACACCCGAGAGCCTCTGCGTTCCCGAGCACGTCACACCGCCAGACAAACCGCCCAGCAGCCCCCCAAAGTCTTACGGTTCCACAAACAACCCAGCAAAGCTCCCAACCACCCCAGACGCTCACCGCACGCCCTCATACCACCTCCCCCAAAAAAAACATCCTTCCTTTCACAAACTCTTCGACGACGTCGTCATCATTATCATCATCTGGCCCTGGTGACCCCGGTCTTCCAAACCGGAGGTGCTGTCACTTGCCGCCCCCCACCTCCCTCCAGCCCACACCCCCAACTGGCTCCCGAACCCTCCATCTCCCCCGTACCCGTCGGCACCACCACTACTTCATCATTACTGTAGTCCTACGTCTCCTTCCAATGTCACGATCGGCGCTCTCATCATCCGTTGCCGCAGGCCCACAACAGCCGAAACGCCCCCAAGAGCGGTTACAGAAGGCCTGAGACCACCTCAAGATGACCGACGACGGCGACGACGACAACGACAACGTCGTCGTCGCCGTCGTCGAGCCGTTCACACCTCTTCCACCGCCCCACGTGCTTTGCTGATTCTCGCAGCCCCCGTTGTCTCCACATGTAGCTGCGTTTCGGCCCAATACGCCCGTTTGTCCTCCACTCCCCTCGCATCGCACACTGTGCACTGTACCAAGACTTTAAAGCGAAGCGCAGCGAGCTTCAAATCTTGTGTATACATACGTGTATATGCATATCTACACATATGTATGTTCACAAATAGATATACATATATAATTGCTTGCCACGCGGCGGTGCCGATAGTGGACTGCGGGGCAAACATGCAAATGCGCGCTGGACTCATGGGGCACGATCCGCGTGAGGAGCGTGCCGATGGGGCGAATGCCCCCACGCGAACGCGCCCACTGCGGCCACAGGTGTAGCACGGTATCGCGTGAGAGGTGTGCCGAAAGGGGCGGAGGCCCGCATGCGAACGCACCCAGTGAGGCCGTGGGTGGTGCTCCCGTTTGGGGCACGGTGCCGAAAAAGCAGTGGCGCTGCACGCGAACACCCCCACTGGTACCGCACGTCGAGCTATGTGGTGGGCTTGTGTTCCACCGCCACCACCGTAAGTAGGAGGGGGAGGGGGTCCTCCTCCTCCTCCTCTTCCTCCTCCTCCTCCTCCTCCTCCTCCTCCTCCTCACCCTCCACCTTCTTGCCCCCTCCAAGTGGTGGTGGAAGAGAAGCTTATCACCATGTGTGGGGGGCACGAGCTGCGCAAGGGGTGTGCCGAAATGGGCGGGGGCGGCATGCGGAGTTGCCCACGTGGGCCGTACGAGGAGCACCGTGCTGGGCACGATCCGTGCAGAAATGGTAGGGGAGCGGCATGCGGCAGACCTGTTGGGGCCGTAGGTGGAGCTCCCTTGGGGCGGCGTGCGAAAGCACCACGGTGAGGCCGTGAATGGAGCTCCCTGGGAGCCATGAGCCATCCGAGGCGTGTGCGTGCGCGTGTGCCGAACTGGCGGGAGCGGCATGCGAACTTGCCCCCGCAGGTCCGCAGTTGAAGCTCCCCGCGGAGCCACGGTCTGGGTGAGGGGTGTGCCGAAAGAGTGTGGGGGGGGGGCATGCGGACGCACCCGCTGGGGCCGCGGGTGAAGCACCCTGTGGGGCACGATTCGTCCGAGGGGCGCTGAGACTGCAGCCAGCGCATGCTCTTCGAGGTGATAAAGAGCCGCGTCATCACAGAGAACCACGCTCAGAAGAGCTGGGAGAAGTGCCAGAGGAGGAAGACGACGACTACGCCGAGGCACGTGCGCTAGTGCAGGATGGACATCACGCGCGATCGGGAGACTTGCAAATCTGTCTGCAGGTCTCGAATATGATGATTCATTCCAGAGAAGGCAGCGGCTGGTTAGCTGGCAAGCCGAGGCAGGGCAGTCCTCCTCAGAGCCATTCAGCAACGATCGGCGCATGTGAAGAATTTGTTTCTGATCTGGGCGACGATCACATCAACCGCTGTCCCACCAGTACAGTTCAAAACATACGCGCAACGAATTCGGCCGCTCCTTCCCCGCGCCATACCGACATGCCGCTGGTGTCTCGGCGAAAACTGTTGGCCTCTCACTTGCCGCTTCTGGGCGAAGCGATGCAGAGCAGCGAACGAGGAGGGCTGAGTGGCCAGGGCCTCAGAGGGGGCCGCCCGTCGGGGGGCCGGGGCTGCGCCGGGGAGCCGAGCAGGCTCACCTGCGCCTCCGCAGCGCAGTGCCTCTCGCCGGCGTCTCGCCCCGGAGCGCCTGGGCCGCGGACTCGCTCCCCGCGCGGACGATGTAGACCGCCTGCACGGTCGGCGACCGCAGGAGCACCTCGGCGGCGCTCTCCAGCTTGGCCCTGAGGCCGCCGGTCACGTCGTGGTCGGCCGTCGTGGTGGCGACGCCAGTGAGCTCCAGCTCGCCTGCAGAGGAGCAACAAACTGTATGAAACCTGACCGTTCGGAGCTCCGCGCGGACCTCTGGGATCGGCCCTGGACTCCGCGCGCCAGGGGCGGCGCCAGAGGCGCCGTCAGGGGGCGGCGCGGAGCTCCGAAATCTTGCGTTGATGATGTTTTGTACGTCCTCCGGCCCTCCAGCCTGTCTTTCCGTCCACCAGGATCTCGCGCACCAGCTGCGAGCCCTCCTCCCAGGGCGGCTTGGTGAACACCCCGTCCACGTCCGTGATGAACACCGCACTCTTCGCCTGCAGCTCCTTGCAGAACTCAACCATCCAGACGTCGCCGCTGAGGATGGCGCAACCCTGCTCGCAGTCGAGGATGGCGTCCCCGTGCACGACCGGCACGAAGCCTGCGCGGACCAGTCCCCTGGCGCCCGCGACAGCGTCGGCGGGCAGTCGCGAGCTTGGTAGCTTCTTCTTCGCCGTGCCGACGAAGGGGCACGGCGACATGGTCACTGCGGGCAGCCCCTGCTCGATCAGGGCGGTAATGACGTGCTTGTTGAGTGTCGTGACGGAGAGGCGTGTCTTCGCAAAGCCCTCGCGCAGCCTTCCGGCCAGCGGGTACGCCAGCGGCCCTTCCCCGACGCCCTTGGACACGCCGTACTCCCTGGCCTGCTGGTGGGTGGATGAGAAAGATGGGGAGGATGAGGAAGAAGGAAAAGAAAGGCGGGAAGATGAAGAGGAGAAGGAAAGGGGCAAAGGAGAAGCCTGTTGGTGGCCGAACGAGCCCGCGCCGTGGATGATGGCCACGCGCTTGCCAGACCTGTGCACCTCCCCGATCTGCTTCGCCGCTGCCGCGAGGTTCTCGGCGTGCAGCGTCTCGAACTCCGCCTTCCTGTCGGAGGGGGGAAAGCGGCCCACCACCGCACAGACCCGCGCAGGCCAACCACCCGGGGCGGCCCGGACTCTGTAGATGAACAGGAAGCGGCATACTCATAAAATGTTGGAGCTGCGCGAGTACCTCCAAAAGTTGACGTGTATGCCCCGTTCTGTTCCTTCTAAATTCGGCCACGTGTATCTCCAGCTTCCTCGGTCTCGAGCTCCAGGGCGTGTCTCGAGCAGCGCTGCCCATGGCTCCCCCGGCATTATCAGTGGGTTTAGGGTTTGGGCGCCGATCTACTACATATCCGCGCGGGCCTCGAACAAATTATGTTCGTACTGTTGTTTGTCTGTGGCTCTCCTGGACAGGCGGGGTGCCCGAACCCGCCAGGACCTGGGCCTGGGCACAGCCGTGCGGAGGCCTGGAGGTACTTCGTGGTGGACACCTCCCCTCTGCCGGGCTTCCTGGTGCACGCCGACCCGCTGATGACCCCCCTGCTCCCCCCTCCTCCTCCTCCTCCTCCTCCTCCTCCTCCTCCTCCTCCTCCTACTCCGCCTCCTCCTGCGCACACAGCTGACGCCCATTCGATCCCCACATGCGCCACAGAGAACGAACTCCTAGGGGCACCCATCGTTCTTCCACCAGTCGGTGGGGAGGCGACAGGCTGCCCTTCAGGTGGACTGGTCAGGCTCAAACGCCTGCTCAGCTCTGACGAGCAACGGGGGCCTCCAGGCGTCTGCGAGCTGGAGGCACTCCTGACCCCCTCGTGTCGTCCCCCTCCACCCCCTCCTCCTCCCCTGCCTCCTCCCCCTCCTCCTCCCCCTTCTCCCGCTCCTGGTCCTGCTCCTCCGTCGCCCCCTGTCAAGCCAGGGGGGCCCAGTGCTCTCAAGCCAGAGCCCAAGTGTGCATGCGCCTCGTCCCAGGGCTCGATGCACGGATGCGTTCGTCTGCGGCTTGAGGGCGACTCGACAGGCAGCGCTGAACGCGGACCAAGGAGCGACGCAACACCAAGCTCAAACGGCTTGGCTTGCTGACCCCACGTCGCCAGCTGCCGAGAGGCCTCGGCCGCTGGCGGTGGTGGTGTGAAGCGGCACGGTGTCGGGGTTGACATCCATAGCCACCCCTTCTCGGACAAGCTAGCTGCAGGTAGTCGCTGCTTCGGTCTCTGGCTAGACGCCGCCGGTAGAGCCCAAGCCCAGCGAGAACTCTGGCAAGGAGGCGTTCGCCAGTAAGGTTCAGGACATATTCGATCGTGTGCAGAAGATGCCAGGGCGGAAGTCTGAGGTGAATACGGATCCCAAGGATATCAAGGCGGGAAAATGCAGAAGAGTGTATTCCCAGGCCCCGCAACTCTTCGACATCGGCTTCGACAACCAAGAGAGGTTAATAGACGACGCTTTAAGTATCAAGATCTTTGCTTACCTTAGGGGACCTCAAGGAACAGGTACACCAGCAGTTGAATATGCAGGCGCTGGCGGCCACACGCCAGACATCCACCAGCTCAAGATCGGCCTTGGCATGATCGTGAAGGACCTCGATGACCTCAAGAGGCATGGCAAACAGCAGTTGAATATGCAGGACTCCTACGAGGCTCCCGCTGGCCAGCATAAGCTAGACACCCAATAGCTCTCGAAACCGATTTCACGAGATCAGCGACGAGGTGAAAGGTGCAGCTGGACATGTCGAAGGATTGCGACGCTGAGATCAAGCAGGAGATCTATGACAAACTAGGGGAGTACCAGTCCTATTTCTCCCCCCTTTTGACGATTCCATCAGGAGATCAACGATACCAGAAAGAAAGTTCAGACGCAGCAGACCTTGCCGGTGCAGCTACAGGATAACATGAAGCTGTTATGAAGAGAACACAGACTCCGCGCTGAGTGTCAGTTCCATGAAGGGTGGGATGACGATGGCCCTCGGCGTCGGCTCCCCCGAGCTTCAGCCTCTTTCTCTCTCTCACTCTTGCGCGTCAGCGGCCCAGGATGGACAAACATCATGACTGCGTGAGAGACGCTGCTGCACGGGTCGCTCCGCACTGTGCTGTGGCTCGTCAAACGCTTTGGCGAGTTCTGGACACGACCAGTGGCGGTCACGGGCGCGCCACTGCAGCCGCTCCTGTTCAGGCAGGCGAGCTAGAGCTGCCGCCACTCCTGTCTGGGTAGACGAACCATAGCGGCAATCATACATGTAATCACTGTGGCCCATGGGCGGTTGTGTGCAGCTGTCGCCTCACGAAAGTTGGGCTCTCTCGGCAGGGAGGGCGGAGGCGGCAGGGAGGGCGGAGGCGGCACGGGCACCCTGAAAGGCGTGCGCTCTTGGGCGATGCAGGGCCTCCACCTCCGTCCTCTGCTGGAGGGCACCAACCTTGACCCAAGTGCCCGATCCGACCCAATCCTCTCCCCTCCTCCCCAGCATCCTGGCGCCCCATCCCAAACTTCGGTGCGCCTCTCCCTCCTCCCCCTCCTCATCCACGTCCTCCTCCCCGTTCCCCTTCTCTTCCCCCCTCCTCCTCCCCCTCCCGCTTCTCTTCCCCCCTCCTCCTCCTCCTCCTCCTCCTCCTCCTCCTCCTCCTCCTCCTCCTCCTCCTCCTCCTCTTCCTCCTCCTCCTCCTCCTCCTCCTCCTCAGCCATTTCGCGTCCGAGCGGCCCCCCCCTGCTCCGGGCCCCTTGGACGATGCGGCGCGCAAACTTCGAAGTGGCGCTGCGCGCCCGAGTCATGAAGAAGCAGCGCGGAGCCCCACGTCATCAGCTACAACGCTGAAATCAGGAGAACGCGCAGCTGCAAGGATGCCCGCCCCCTCCCGCCCCCTCCTCCTCCTCTCCGTCTCCACCCTCCTCCACCTCCTGGCAGACCTGGGCGCCAGCCGATGCGGCGCCGCGGGCAGAGTGCGGGGACAACAGAGTCGTGATCAGCTACAGCGTAGGGATCAGGCCGTGAGAGAAGACCAGCAGTGGCAGGCAGAGCTCACGCTGCGAGAAAGCAAACAGTGGCAGCCAGAGCTGGCGCTGCGACAGGGACGAAGGCGCGGGTGGGCCACGATCAGCTACAACGCTGGGAACAATCCGTGCGAGAAAGGGAACGCGCAGTGGCAGCGGACGCTGGCGCTGTGCAAAATGCGCGGGTGGGCCACGATCAGCTGCAACGCTGGGAGTCGTCCGTGCGAGGAGGGCCTGCGAGAAGCGGGAGGCGAAGCTGGAGCCCGAGTGTCTCTTCTAGCTAACGCCTCTGGGAACAGCGTGGGCGAGGAAAGCGAACAATGTTCTGCCGCGGCCATCTTGCGAGAAGTGGGAGGCGAAGGCAGAGCCCGATGTCGACAGCTACAGCGTTGGGATCGGGGCAAGCCGCTGCGAAAAGAGGGAGGCGAAGCTGGAGCCCGAGTGTCTCTACTAGCTAACGCCTCTGGGAACAGGTGCGTGCGAGAAAAGCGAGCAATGTTCTGCCGCGGCCATCCTGCGAGAAGTGGGAGGCGAAGGCAGAGCCCGATGTCGACAGCTACAGCGTTGGGATCGGGGCAAGCCGCTGCGAGAAGAGGGAGGCGAAGCTGGAGCCCGAGTGTCTCTTCTAGCTAACGCCTCTGGGAACAGCGCGTGCGAGAAAAGCAAGCAATGTTCTGCCGCGGCAATCCTGCGAGAAGTGGGAGGCGAAGGCAGAGCCCGATGTCGACAGCTACAGCGTTGGGATCGGGGCAAGCCGCTGCGAGAAAAGGGAGGCGAAGCTGGAGCCCGAGTGTCTCTTCTAGCTAACGCCTCTGGGAACAATGCGTGCGACAAAAGCGAGCAATGTTCTGCCGCGGCCATCCTGCGAGAAGCGGGAGGCGAAGGCAGAGCCCGATGTCGACAGCTACAGCGTTGGGATCGGGGCAAGCCGCTGCGAGAAGAGGGAGGCAAAGCTGGAGCCACACGTCGAATAGCTAACACCTCTGGGAACAGTGTGTGCGAGAAGAGCGCCACCCTGCGAGAAGTGGGAGGCGAAGGCAGAGCTAACACCTCTGGGAACAGTGTGTGCGAGAAGAGCGCCACCCTGCGAGAAGTGGGAGGCGAAGGCAGAGCTAACACCTCTGGGAACAGTGTGTGCGAGAAGAGCGCCATCCTGCACGGAGTGGGAGGCGAGGGCAGAGCCCGACGTCGTCTGCTACAGCGTTGGGATCTGGGCAAGCCGCTGCGAGAAGAGGGAAGCAATGCTGGAGCCAAACGTCACCTTCCTAGCCACCACCGTGCGCTGGGAAAAACGGGAGGCAAAGTTGGAGCCCGATTCTATCTAGCTACACTCGCTAGAAGCAGCGCGTGCGAGAAGTGCAGGGGCCAACGGACGGGCTCCGGCGCGAAATGGCAGGGCACGGACGAGCTACCCTCAGTTACAGTGCAGAGATCAGCCCGTTGCGCGAGAGCAGGAGTGGAGGAAATCCACTCGTGGGAAAAGGGGGAAGCAAGCAGGCAGTGGCAGCGGGGCTGCCCAAGCGTGCGTGCGAGAAGCAGGCAGTGGCAGCGTGCTGCCACGGCGTGTCTCAATGTCCTGGGGGCGATCCTCGGAAGATCTCTGGGAATTTGAATCGGTTGGGGGAAGGGCGACACCCGACCACCAACCGCCTTTTCTGATGCAGCCCCATGTCGCCCAAGAGAGGCCTGGGGGATCGTGCTGTCTCATCGTCGTCGGTCGCGCTCTCTTGCTCATGGCACGGCTGATCAGGATAGCAGAATCCTCGTAGCAGAATCCTCCTCCTCCTCCTCCTGCTCTTCCCCTTGTCTTCATGATTAACTCTCCCCTGTAGCCCCCCCCCCCCCGTGCCGGTGGGGCGGGCCAGGCGTATCGCCCGCGCCTTCCTCACAACTTGTGACCCTGAAGCTCAGAGCATGTAGGGCGCCCCGTTTTCAAAATGTGATTCTCGCCTTGGCGCGCACACGTGCGCCTTAAAAGTGTGCAGCAATGTCAACGATGGGGGGCGGCTGGCTTTCAGCATCTCGTCCCCGCCGTAGCGCTGCGCACATACGTCTTGAAAAGTTGCAACAGATTCGCAGATGGGTGGCGGCCCGTCTTCACAATGTGTCGCTCGCCACAGCGCCGCGCGCATTCCCCTTGGAAGTTTCAGAGCCGGTTCACATATGGAGGGCGGCCTTTTTTTACAAATGGCTCTCGCCTTAGCGCTGCGCACAGTTGTCTTGAAAGTTTGCAGCAGATTCAAGGGTTCGTGCATTCGAAGTCACAGGAATGGCGTTCTAGTACAATTCAGGACTGTCAGGACGAGACGGTCACGTGCGTCCGCGGAGTGGGAAGTATATTGCAACCTCCTCCTCCTCCTCCTCCTCCTCCTCCTCCTCCTCCTCCTCCTCCCCCTCCTCCCCCTCCTCCCCCTCCGCCCCCTCCCCCTCCTCTTCCTCCTGCCCCCCCCCCTTCCCCCAGAGCTTCCTGGTGCACGCCGACCCGCCGATCTTCACGACCACGTCCGCCGGGGGCCCTCCCTCGCCGCCGTGCCCCACGCCGGCGGAGCGCCGGCGCAGCAGCAGCGCCGCGGCCGCCCCCACCACGGCCCCAGCCGCCGCGCACGCGAGCTGGTGCACTCTTCGCTCGTCCATCGCTCGTCCGACCGCGCTGCGCGCGGCGCCGCTCGAGCAACAAAAATAGCTGAGGCGAGGGGGCCGAGGGGGGGGGCGAGGAGGCTGCTCGAAGCGCGCCCCAGAGCTCGAGGCCGTCCGCGAACGACATACCAGGAAGCTGGAGGCACACACGTCTGAATCACGCAAAACAATCATGATGTTGACAAGCGTGGACCCCAAACACTGTGTTTCCAGCAGCCTATGCTGTGCAATTAATTTTGTGCATTATATAGGGGTGCTATCGATGTTGTGCAAACGATGTGGTTCAAGCTACGTGGTGCAAGATGTATTGTGCAATCGATGTGGTGCAGTCTATGTGGTGCAATGTCTGTTGTGCAATAGATGTTGTGCATCTATGTTGTGCAATCTACGTGGCGCAATACATGGCAATATATGCTGTGCAATAAATGTGGTGCAATTTCAATATGTGTGGTGCGCAATCTATGGGGCGACGGGGCGGCAACGGCGGCAAGATGGCCGCCAGACCGGCGGTCAGGCCCAGACGACGGGCGGCGACGTGCGGCGACGGGGCGGCGGCGGCGGCCACATAGCCGCCAGAGCGGCACACCGACCCAGACGGCGGGCGACGACGAGGCGGCGACGAGGCGGCGACGGCGGCCACATGGCAGCCAGAGCGGCACACAAACCCGGTTCGTTAAAGCAAAGTAAGAAGCCCTAAGTGTAAACACTGGCTGGGGGAAAACTGCATGCTCAAATCAATGCGGATTTCTTCGATCGGCGTTGGACTCCCCCCGCTCCCTGGCGCGCGGCAGAAAATCCGCGCGGATCTGCGCAAGTTGACGTTTGTGCAGGTTGTCTTCTTCGAGAATTCGCGTGCGGAGCATGCGACCACCACGCGCTCGATGCAAACGCGGAGGGCCGACGCAGGCACCCGTACGCACAAGGGCCGAGCGCTGGAAAGCCATGCGGCCACACCCAGATTTCGCCCGGGCCAGCCACGTCAAATGTTCGCGAGCCTGCCTACGGCAAATTCGTGTCGTGACGACACCAGCATTGGTTTCTGCCACCACGTGGATCGTTCAGACTTGACCGATCGGCGGCTCTCCGAGCGCTGGATTGTCCCATATCGGCCGACTCTGGGCCGCTGGCGGCGTGAAACCTTGCACGCCCGCGCTGGGATCGCCGCCGCCGCGTTGACAGAACACGAACCTTACCCTGAGCTCCGACGGTGCGAAACAAAAATGCAACATCGTGAAAATCACGATCGAGAACCCCAGACCCCGTTTTTTGCGCGGCACTTTTCAAGCAGGCTCGATCTGTGATAGCGCCAAGGCCCAAAACTGGGCGAAAACGCACAGTGTGAAAACCATTGCAAAGCCCAGATCTCAGGGGAGCCCGCGCTGACGCGCGCGCAGCAGATGGGCGGCCGAGCACCTGGACATCTCCGCCTGCACTGACTGTCAATCTACTAGATGAACATAAGACGGCATAAACATAAACTTCTGGCGGTCCGGGCGGATTTCTTGGAGCCGCGCTGGACCCCCCTCCCTGGCGCGCGGCGCGCGGCAGTGGCGACACTGGAGGCGCCGCCGGCGGGGCCCAGCGCGGATCCAAGAAGTCCGCGCGCAGCGCCAAAAGTTTATGCTTGTGCACTGTTTCTTCTTCGTCCTCTGCCGTCCTCGGGCATCGGCACAAATCGGGGGGGCCACTGCGGACGCCACCCGCAGGCTGCGGCCATCCCCTGCCGGCCCACCGCGTGCGGTGCGGCGGGAGCGCCGACCCAGGAGCCCAGACCCCCCCATCGCGCCGTGGAGAGAGCTCAGGCCCGGCGCGAGCGCAGGGGCCGACGGCAATGTTGCCAGCCCAGGGCGCAGGAGCTGGGCAGGAGCCAAGCGCGGTTCTGGCAGCGGTGGCTCACCGGGGGTGCATGTTGGATAGGAAACCTCTGCCCACCCCTCTCCATCAGTCGTTCCCTCTCTGTCTCTGTAGCTCCTTCCTCTCTTTTTTTTTTTCTCTCTCTCTCTCTCTCTCTCTCTCTGCCACACTCTACTAGTGTTGGCGGCGCACACAAGGGGGTAGGGAGAGGGGGGAAGGCTTCTTAGAAAGAGGCTGCGTTTTAGAAGGCGCCAGCCCTACCAGGGGTGTTTCTAAGAACCCTTCCCCCCTCCCCCTCCCCTCCTCTGCGTGTGGCTGACCCCAGACGGAGCCGAGCACTCAATATGGACTCACTCCGTACGGACTTGGCCTCTTCTGATCCGACGGCCACTCCCTCTATGTCTGTGTGTTTCTCTCGTTCCATCTCTCTCTCTCTCTCGCAATCTGATCTTGGCAGGGCGACTCCTCCGCCCGCCCGCCCCATGGCCATGCGGGCCTGCGCCGCCGCGGACGCCGCTCTGGCCGCGGGCGCCGCCGCCGCCGCCGTGCCGCTCCCTGCTGAGCGAACAACTCGCACCAACACCCATAGGGGGGACGGAGGGACCTATGGACGCCTGCTGCCGAATGATTCTCCCCACTCGCACGGGAGCCCCACCCGGGTCCGACAAGCCGCACCCATAACCGAAAGCCAGTCTTCTTCTCTCCCGCCCGCCTATGGGTATGTCGGCGGCCAACAGAGGGAGTGACAGGGGGCGGGCCTCCTTAGAAGGCTCGAGACCCCACGGCCTTGTGAGAAGTGTTCTAAGCCTCCCTCAGGCACAGAAGAACTCTCACAAGGCCAGGGGCCCTCTGAAAGGCCCCGCCGCCTTCCGAGAAGGTGTTCTCCTTCTCACTTCCCCCCTCGCTCGCCGCCGAGGATTGGCGTGCGCTGTTCGTTCGCCACTCCCGGCGCCCAGCGCACCCGCGGCGCACTGGCCCTTCTTGCCGGCGCGGCTCCGCCACTGCTTCTTCGGAGGCGTGCCGTCGCGCGCGCCAGCGCCCCGCCGCTCCGCCTCGGGGCTCGCCGGCGAGGCGCGCCCCGCTCCTGAGGGGTAGCGACCAGGGCGACGAAATCTCTGTACATTGTACTGCTCCCTGGCCAGGCCCAACATGAACCCAGCAGCGGCGCATACGCCACGCCCCCCTGCCTTGGCCGGGGGGGCGTATACACAGCCCCTGAGCCCAGGACGGGCCGGGCCAAGGGGCACTGGATTTGTATAGATGTCGTCGCCCGAACGATAGGGGAGGACCAGCACAGCAGGGGGTGGGGGGAACATCGACCTGAAATCGGCGATACATCTCCGATGGCTCGGCGAGAGGCCCACGTAGCGAATCCGCACGCTCCTGGGCGGGTTTGGGATATCGGGCCCCCATCGGCGAGGACTGGGCGATGGGGGGTCGACGCGTCCCCCCTGAGCCTAAAATCCCCCTCGAACGCTGCCCCTGAGAGGCGCGCCCTCCCATGGCGCATTCTGGCCAGGACTCGGAGGCGACTCCAGCCTCTGCAGCGGAAGCTGCCAATCCCAAGCATCCGACGCCTTGAGTCTCTGAATACAGAGCCCCCGTCAGCCCCGACCCTTTCCGCCGAGCCAGCATGTCACACAGATTGGCGCGTGGGCGGTCCCCGGGCCCGGCGAGGACCCCGGTAATCCAAGCCCCAGACTTCATGCTTTTTCACGGCGTCGCCCCCCAGAGGTCTCGACCCAAGGCTAAGACCAGCCTTTCATCCTGAACCCCCTTTCTGACCGCCCCGAGGCCTGGCGAAGGCCCCCAGAGGCCGAACGAAGCGACAGCTCCATGATTTTTTACATTGCCCGAGGGGTCTGGGAGCCCTTCAGCGCAGAGGAGGGCAGGGAAGTGAGAAGGGCACAAGGCTTGACCATGAAGCAATAAGCTGACAGACCGACTCTTAGGATAACGTCGGCGACGCATCGAGGTACCCCACAACTCATCTCGATGGCAAGCAAGGCGAAGGGTAAGAGAGAACCCATGCGATCGGGAGATGGATCATAGGAAGGAGGTGGCCGATTGTCCGTTGCTACGATCTGCAAATAGGATCACACAGTTGTGTAAGTGGCAAATAGGACTGCGCTGCCTTGAACCAAGACGGCGACGGATATAGCGCTCGCTTTACAGCCTCCCCTTAAACCTCGTTAAAGTCGGGAGGGGAGGGGCCGAACGCTAGATCCTAGTCCTAGTCCTCGCAGTAAAAGGTTGGCTCTTCGGATGCCATGCCCCTTTACTTCGTCATCTTCGTCACCATTGAGGCGACGATATCCTGAGTCACTGTGAAAGTCCACTTCTCCTGTCGGAGTCATAAGCTGACATATAAGGTTCTTGGGACCTTGCTGAAGTCTTCGCACTTGGAGGTTCGTGGGTTCCTGTGCATGTAAGGACACCACGCATACCATTCACCGCACCCGAAGGATTAACGCATACAACAAGGCGCCACGTATACTGGTGAGCATGCCGGATACGGCCTTCGTTGCCATTTCTTCCGCTGCAGCGCCCGTGAGTTCTGGATGTTAAACCGGGCGATGCTGTTTGATGTACTCATCCGGATGTGGCTGGACGTGGCCGTCCTCGGTCATAGTGCGTCGTGCGGCGCAATTGGTGTAATAGTGTTCGTTCAGTTTGCATGCGCCGAACGTACCTACTACGCACTTGACGCAGTTGTTAATCGCGCCCTCCGCTCCTGCCATGTTCATGTCATCGGCGTGCTCGGCGGCTAGGAAGTGTGGGCTTGTCTCGAACTCTGCATCGTGCGACGTAGGTTTTAGCCTGAATCATCGCGTGATGGTTCTGAGCTTCAGTGAGAATGCCCCGGGGTCGTCTTTGGTGCCTGTGCCTGGCTTAGCGCTGTAGACATTGCTTTGGCTCGTCACGGGACGAGAAACCGGACAATGCGCGTCGAAACGAGGCTGCGCCGGGTGGACTGAGTAAAGCAAGCCTCGCTATCTTTCTCTCCAAGGTTTCTGCCGACTCCCGATAGGTCAGACCTGTCAGCAAGGCCTTATCGATGTCCATGGACGCGATGATCCACTGTTTCCTGCACGCGGCCGCGCTGGCGAGCAATCCCTGGCTTGCTCGACGAGCTGCGGCTGAGGAGGCTTCTACGCCGAATGCTTCGACTTCCATGGAGCCGCGAAGAAAAC